GTGCAGGAGGCAGCTGGTTGATGTTTCTCATCGACATTTCTAGCTCTCTATCTCTCTCCCTTCCTCTCTGTAAAAAATCAATAAAATATATATATATATTTTTTAAGTGTGAGGCTCCCTAGCCTAGGACTGAGAGCTAACACCTGTAAAAGCGTTTTTGCATCTCACAAAACACTCCTCATCTATGGCAGGGGAGGCCTGTGAGAGCACAGGTCCCGGGGCTTGAGCTCAGAGCGCCTGGTGGCACCAGACCTGGCATTGGGGTCTCAGGTGCTTCTGGAGCCCTGCATCCCCGACAGAATGAATCTTCAGCGGTGTTCACCCCTCTCTGCCCTCTGTCCTCTGCCCTCCCTTCTACCTGCGAGATTCGTGTGTGCGAACGCCCCTCCCCACCCTAAAACCCTCTCCTGGCTTTCGGGGAAGTGGTTACCGCTCCCCCCTCGTTAGGGCGAATGACTGATAAGGACGGCTGGCTGCATCCCCCCACCTCAAAGCTCCGGCTCCTTCTCCAAGAACAAGCCTTAGGACAGAGAGTGAAGCCTTTGGACATCAGTGAGCAGAGTGTTTTAGGGTGACTAAGGACCGCCCCCCAAAAGATCACCTGTTAGAAGCAGCCGCTTACTTCATCTAAGTCCCACTGCGTCTCTGTCACCGTTTTATGCCCAGTGCCCACCATGGTGCCACGCACACTGTAAGTACTCAATACATGTGCGAAGCATGAGGAAGTGCTGACGCATGTCCAGGCAGGAAGGGAGAGAGGCCTGCGGGCTGCCTGTAGCAGATCAGAGGTGAAAGCCAAGTCCTCCTCAAACTCACCAAGGACTTGCCCTAATCAGCAAACACTAAGCGCCTGCTGTATGCATGTCCCTGGCTGGACCAGAGGCCACACTATCTCCCCAAATTAACGTGTCCACTAGTCAATCAACTGAGGTTTCTTTTAGTTGTCCACTCATTTATGCATTCATTCACTCTTTCATGCATGCACATCACTGCCGAGCTCTGTGCTAACTCTGACACCAAAAACGGAGACATCACAGCACCCGCAGGAGCCCATGCAGGAGCGCCGTGGAGGGAGAGCGAAAGCTCGGGTCTCCAGGAAAACTCGGGCTCCGAGCCGGTGGTTTGGGATGACTCAGCAAAAGCCTCCCGGGCTCGGAGGAACCAGAGACGCGGGCGCGTCCAACGCGTCTCTCCTCCTGGCTCTCTTCCTGCAGCACCTGCTCACCTCAGTCCCAGCAGCCCTGACCCTCGGGGCCTCCCCAGCTTTAAGGAAAGCGGGGGGGGGGGAGGGGGTGTTAATGCCCATTTCATGGATGAAGAAACTGAGGACCTGGGACCAAACACAGGGAACAAGTGGGGTGGGATGTCTCCTGTCTCCCAGCCACGTCCTCGCTCTCGTGGGCCACAAAGCTGCATGTCTGGCGGGAAGGAGTCACCTCGCCCTCCCTCGCCCTGATCCTGTTTGGATCCCCATTATTAAGATGCGTTGGACATTTATTCCTTGCCAGGTCCTTTGCAAGCATTAACTCTTAAAATTCTCATGATCCCTTTATTATTCCCACTTTACAGGTAGGAAAGTTGAGACCCAGAGAGGTGAACTGAGGCATCTAGAAAGTGCCAGAACCGGGATCTACACCCAAGAAGAGCTCAATTTCCAGAGCCCACGCTCTTAGCCACCACACAGGACCCCCTGAATATGCCTGCGCACCCTGAGTCTCGGAGAGGTTGAGGGTCTTGCCTGAAGCCCCACTGCCAGGAGGCACTGGAGTCGGGATTCAAACTCAGGGCTGGCTGCTCCCACAGCCCCATGTTGCACCCTTGGACGCTCAGGGGGCAGGCGGGGACGGGAGCAGAGGCAGAGGGAGTTAAGGGGCCGCCTTCCCCTCCCGGCACATGCAGGACCTCCATCCTGGGGCCGCTGAATAATTCAAGCTCCTCGGCTCCGGCCCACGCCTGGGTCCCGGGGATATTTTTATCCCAGGTTGCAGCCACCGTGCTTCACGGAAATAAACCGCCCCGCTGGCGTCTCGTCTTCGCGTCAGCTGCCGATTTGTCTGCATTTAGGACCGGCTCCCCTCGCGAATGGGATCGAGAGCAGGAGACAGGTCCATATGTCATGGTGGTTTTTATTAGAAAGTTACAAACTCTCTGTGACCCGTGTGTGTATATATAGAGAGAGAGATGGGGAGGGGGTAGATAAAGAGGAAATGCCACATGCTACAAAGAACGCCCCCACCACCCCCCCAGCAGCCGCCCTGACCGACCAGGTTGTGTGGGAGCAGGAAGGAAGGGGAGCAGCCGAGCAGGCTGCAGAGGCTGAGGCTCCAGGCACCCCTGTGACACAGCAGACACCCCGGCCGCTGCCTCCCTCCCGAGGGTGAGAAAGGGGGTGCTCGAGGCTCCCTCCTCCCCCCACATCCCAGGCTGGTGGCAGAGAGGTGGCCGTGGAGCCAGCAGTGAGGGATGACGCCTGACTTCGTGGTGGCAGATTTTTATGCTGCTGTGCCGTGACTCACTGTGTGGCCTTGGGCAGGTGGCTTTCCCTCTCTGGGCACCCCCTAAAAGGGCTGGGCTAGATCAGAGGTTCTGAACTTGAGATGCTCCGATGGGCATCAGGGAGCACTCACAAGCCCCCCCACTATTGTGTGTTTGAGTGACTGTGCATCTGTTCAGTATGGGAGTCGGGGGGGGGGGGGTCTCAATGGGGTCCTTGCTGTCACCCCGGGGATTAGTCTATAGGGCCCTCCTGTGCTGCAGATCTGAGTGTCTCTGCATCTGCCTGCGCCATACATACAGCAGAGCCCTCTCCATCTGAGCCCAGGACTCCAGGACCCGACCAACGAGCTTCCAAGAGACCCCATATCCCACCCCAGTTTACCCCAAACACGGACTCTCAACACACGTGACAAATTCCCAGAGACGGAGCTAACCCTTCCTAGAAGCACGTACACACACCCACGTACTTAGCACACAGCCAAGAACCTCAGAGCTGGAGGGGCCTGGGGGTCCCCAAGACCAGCTACCATATTGCACAGGGGGAGACACTGAGACCCGGAAAGGGGAGGGCCAGGATCCGGGTCTCCCACTCCAGGGGCAAGGCTCCTTCCAGAACGCCCATCTCCGTCTTCCCGACGCACCACAATGCGCCATTTCCAATGCGCTGGGGGAGGAGGCAGGGCTGCCTCTTGGATTCTCGCCATCCCCCAAGGAAGCGCAGCTGGGAGACAGCAAGGAGATGCTTGGAAAGCACCCACATGTGGACAACCCAGTCCCAGCCACCTCGGCGGGGCCGGCATGGACCGCAGCGCTGGCCTGATCGTTAACATATTGGCATTCTCCCGTGCCAGGCGGTGATGGCACACCGAGGCCCCTGTGGCTCCCTTGTCCCTCCCCCAGGCCACGCTGAACCCTCAAAGGCTAACACTCGGCACTGCGGGGGACACCTCGGATCCCCCACTCTGGGGCCCAGTCATAGCCCAGTCTGGCCGGTCAGTGCCCAAGTTCAACATCACCCATGGCCAGATGGGTGGCTCATAATCTGAGCCTCACGTTCCTCATTGACAGCTGAGGCCTCCCAGGGAGAAAACTAAGGCAACTTTGTCCTCAAGGTCACCCACCAAAGGAAGCCGAGGATTTGAGGACCACCAAGGAACCCCCCCCCCCCCCCGCCCCACATGTCCTGCCTGACCGGGCACATGCCTCGGGATTTGGCATCTCCACATGGCCCTGGGGGGTGGGAAAGGGAAAAAAATGACTGAGTGGGCTCCGCTTGCACCCCAGGCTTGCCAGCCTCGGGGGGTGAGGCTTCATCCCTCCCACCTCCAAGAACAAGAACTTCAGGAGGAAATCCTTGGGGATGCGGAGGACTGAAGCAACCCGTGAGAGAACAGCAGAGATGCTAAAAATAAGGGCGTGCGTTCCCAGAAAGGTAGACGTAATCAAAGCGGGAAGCAAGGAGAAATCCCCTTCTGATAAGTCGCAGATGAGCAGCCGAGGCGTTTTTAACATTAAATGTGAGGTGTTTTTTTTTGATTCGCTTGCCAAGGACCACCGCTCGCCAGGTGGATGCAGGCTTAGCCCATCAGGACCTCAAATCAAGCCATGAGAGCAGCGTGGGCTCTGCCTTGGAACAGATCGAAACTGGGGCTCGGAGCCCTTCCCCAGCCTCAGAACCAGCCCTGTCCTCCCCTGTTTCCCCTGCGCTGAGACGGGTTCAAGGATGCAGTCTCCCAGGCTGCACCCCTCCCCCCCATCCCCTCACTTACAGGTGACACCACCTGTGAAAATAAAACACCGTCTGCTCAGCAGGCAGCGGGCCGGTCCGCTCTGGTCTGTCCGACCACTCACCCCAACCAAAACGGGGTCCTTCCGTGGCTCCCACATCTCCCATCCCAGGAAGCTTAGGACAGCCAAGCATTGCACACATCACACCACGGAGCAAATGACTCGGCTATCCCTAGAAGCTGGCACAATCTGAGCCTGTCCTACGCAAGCCTATCTGGTGTGCCAAGGCGACCCTAGACAAGGGTTACCTTCCAGCCTCAGGCGACGCACTCCTATCCAGGGCCAAGATGCCCACCCACTAGGTCAGAACACACACAAAGACCCTCCATGCCAGGCTGGCCAGCCCCCCGAAGGGTTAATTCACTAGGAGGACTGCCGGCCACTTTCCACAGCCCCTGCTGCAAGGGAGAGGGCACACTGGGCAGAAGCCACAGTGTTGATCGCAATGCCTAAACCTGAGCACATTCACCCCCGGTCTCCCCCCCCCCCCCCCCCGCCCGGGCACTGGGCCGAAACCCAATTTGGCTTCTGGGTGCCGCTTGGGCAGCCGAACACTGCAGAATGTGGGCAAAGGACTGTGGTCATTCCTCAACGCCCCTCCCCTCCCGCCTCCCCTCCAGCCCACCAGCTCATATGCACACACCGCATGGCACCCGGGATCCCAATCCACCACCCGCCCCCAGCCCCTTCGCATAACGGAGAAGAATGCCACTTACCACAACACCAGAGGACTGCAGGGGGGACCGGGCGAGCCAAATTCTTGCCAACTCCTCCCTTCCCTGCCGGTGGGAAGATGTTAACTCCCGGCGACTTGGTCTGAAAGCTCAGCGGAGGCGCCTGGAAGAAAAATGTTTGACTCTCCTAGTCTTCCCAAAATAAAATCCAAGTGCCAACACACACACACACACACACACACACACACGCACACACACACACACGCACACGCACACACACGCACACGCACACACATGCACGCACCAACTATCCCTAAATCACGCAGGACCGAGACATACCACTGCCAGGCGAGGAGAGAAGTCAGCCAGTTAGTGGGCAAGGCAGGCTGTGGCTCCCTCAGACTGTCCTCCCCATGGATGAAGGGTTTTGCTCTGTAAGTCAGTCTCTCTCTCTCTCTCTCTCTCTCTCTCTCTCTCTCTCTCTCTCTCTCTCCCCCCTCTCTCTCTGTCCTCCGAGTAGGCAACTCGGGGCTGCTGGCAGCGGACGAATCGGTTGCGCTGCCTCCTCCACTGCTGCAGAGCCCTCTGTTGAGCAGGGGAGACGGGGGGGGGGGTGCAGAAGCTTCCCGGTGGCGCAGGGGAACCGAGCCTGCCTCCCACCCGTGATTTATGTGTGAGGTGCCTGGAGAAAGAGAGGTGGGAGGCGGGGAGGAGAGGTTGGGCGCATCCGAGATCCCAGCTGGCCGGAACGGCAGTCAGGAGATTGGCGATCAGCACCGCGGACAGCGCTAAGACGTGGAGGAGGCGGAGGAGGAGGAGGGAGGGGATGGGCGGGAAGCAAGCCCTAAGGCAGCGAAGTTAAGTTATTGGATGGATAGAGCAGAGAAGGGGGAGTGGGGGGGGGGGGAACAGAAGTGGGGGGAAGACAGGACTTCTCGCCATCGCACAGTGAAGTCAGTGTGACAGCCCACCTACCGCACACCCATTCGAATAGTGTCACTCACTCCCGGAGCTGAGGAGCTGTCACTTGGCAGCCCCTCTCCCACACAGGCCCCCAGACCTTCCTTCACCGCTGGGCTCAGCTCGGTGAAGAGTTTGACTACCCGGTGTGGGAGCCTTCAAGTGGTTTTTCTCAAAAGCAAACAGCCCAGCTGACCGGTCCTCCCCCACATGGTGGCAGATTTCTGACCTGGACCTCGGGAGCCTCAGGAATTTGGAATAAGGAAAGATAAACTCTTAGGAAAGGGGGATGTTCAAGGGACAGGGGGGCTTCGTGGAAGAAGCACTGGACCCCGTAGTTTCTGGGGCCCAGGTCTGGCCTCCATACAACCTAGTAAACGTCATTTAATGTCTCCAAGTCCCATCCATAAAATGATATTACGACTGCTCGATTTCCCCAGAGACAAGAAGCAAGAGGCTCAAAAGCAACAAGAAGAGCCCACAAGATGTGAGCTGCTAGGATCCCACGATCCACAGCTTGTCCCACGACTCAGATGCGTTGACAGAGGGAGAGAGGAACTGACAGCCAGCCAGGAGGGTAGGTGCTGGTCCCTCCTCTCCCTGGGCTCCCCGTGGTCTGAGGAGGAGGATGTAGGGAGATGACAGGGGGTCTACATCGGACGACGGAGCCTTCGCCAAAGACCCAGCCCCGGGAGATGCAGACTGACCTTCTGAAGTGACACCACCAAATGGACAAGAAAATACAACCACTGAAAGGACAAATGCACAAAGAGAAATTGATTCCCGTGGATTCCAGCGCTGCAGAGCTCCAGGCTCCTATCCCTGCTGACGACGGACAAAGGATAGGAAATCTCGAACAGACTGAGGTTCTCTGCCACGTGAAGGTCCACACAGACCCTCCTCTAACGCATGCCACTCAGGGGCCCCAGGGCAAGCTGCCACATTTGCCATTTAGATGTCAGAATTTGAACTTAAGATGTCAGAATCTCTAGACCATTTAGAGCTACACTTTACAGATGCGTAAAGCATCATCGTGATCATAATGCTTATGCTGGTGGTGGTGGTGGTGATGGTGGTGGTCTTTATGGTGATGATGGTAGTGATTTTGGTGGTGGTGGTGGTCAGTGGTGAAGGCAGCTGTCATTTATTGAAAATCACCTATGCACCAGCCATTCTGCTAGGACCCTGGTTGGCAAACTGCGGCTCGAGAGCCACATGTGGCTCTTTGGCCCCTGGAGTGTGGCTCTTCCACAAAAGACCACAACCTGGGTGAGTCTATTTTGAAGAAGCGGCTTTAGAAGAAGATTAAGTTTAAAAAATGTGGCTCTCCAAAGAAATTTCAATCGTTGTCCTGTTGATATTTGGCTCTGTTGACTAATGAGTTTGCCGACCACTGTGCTCGGTAGGACCTTTACCTATCTCATCACCTTGAGTCCTCACCATGACCCTGTGAGGGTGTTATTCTTATCCCCATTGTACAGATGAGGAAACTGAGACACGAGAAGTTAAGTCTTGCGTAAGGTCACATAGTAAGTGGGCAGGCACAGGGTTCAAAGCCAAGATTGTGTGATTTCAAAGCCCATGTTTCAGAAGGTCAGAGTCAAGTTCAAGTGCATTCTACAATGTTTTGGCAGGACCTCACTGCATCTTTTCTGGGAGGGTCCTAGGACACACATTCAACCCCCTCACTTTACACATGGAGACACTGAGGGCCAGAGTGGGGCAGGGAGAGCCAAAGAGTCAGGAAGTAGGAGAGCTGAATCTGGAACCCAGACTTTCTGAAGCCAGGACCTGTGTCTTAGTGCCAAAAACAGTGCCAGGTACATAGGAAGTCCCTCAACAAACACCTGAAAAGTGATTCAAGAAATCCAGAGAGGGCTCTAGCCTGTTTGGCTCAGTGGATAGAGCATCGGCCTGCAGGTTCAATTCTGGCCAAGGGCACATGCCCTGGTTGTGGGCTCGATCCCCAGTAGGGGGAGTGCAGGAGGCAGCCAATCAATGATTCTCTCTCATCGTTGATGTTTCTATTTCTTTCTCCCTTCCCCTTTCTCTCTGAAACCAATAAAGAAATATATTAAAGAAAAGAAAATCTTTTAAAATAAAAAATAAATTAAAAAACAAAAAGAAGCCCAGAGAGGGACTAAAGTCACACAGGCTGCTGGTGGTGGATTCAGAACCAAGTAGGTCTCAAGCCTTTCGGCTCCGGGTCCCAGGGAATATCTATCTACTTCATCCCTCAGCTTCCTGGACATTAGACACGTGTTCTCAGAGGGTCTGTCAATACAGCTACCACCTGCTAAATGCCAGGACGTCTACCGTGTACTGGGCACTGGTCTAAGCACGTTAGAGTTTCTGCCGCCTGTCTTCACCACCTCCTGAGGCAGGTGTGACTGAGGTCCCATTTTCACAAGAGAAGACTGAGGCTCAGACAGCTGACGTGAAGCCCCACAGCTCACACCACCGGCGGTGGCAGAGGCAGGGACGCCGATCTCGGGTCTGACTCCAAAGCCTATTGTTGTTTTTTGCCACCCTGCTAGTTTTTCTCAAACGGGGCCCCCCCGAGGTCCCCACGGGAGTGAAAAAGAGGCTCAAGTTGCTGCCCCCACACACCCACCCTAGTTTCCACTAGAGGAGCAGCGCTTTTAACCGTTTTTTGCATTCTGGGCATCTGCCCAAGTCCTCACTGCAACGGGGCTTTGCAGCAAAAAATTTAAGAGATAATATGGTTGAAATCAGAACCCTGCATCTTCCCTGGTATCGCGTCATCTAGGAACCAGCCCTGTCTTCTCGGGGAATGGTGCCCCCACCCTCCCTGGTCACCATCTCCAAACCCAGGAGCCCCTCGTCCGAAGAACCAGAACCAGCGGCTGCTGTAACCTCTGGCAGTGCTGCAGCAGGAGCCACCTCCACTTCGGACTCCTCAGGACTGAGCGGTGTCGCTCTGATCCTCCCGAAGCCAGGGCACGGCTAAGGGTTCCTCAGGGCCCTGGATTCAGCCCAGCCCAGCCCTGCCCTGCCCTGCCCTGCCCTGCCCTGCCCTGCCCTGTCCTTGCCCTGCCCTGTCCTTGCTCTGCTGAGGCCGGAGGCAGCCAGGAAGGCTTCCGTCACTCCCCGGGAGGATGGGGAACGATGGTGGTGGTGATAACTCTACCAACCAAAGCTACCCGCCTGTTCCAGGTGGCTCCGGGCACCGTATTAGTATTATCTTCACAGCAATCCTATGCGTTAATATTATCATTGTTTTCTTTTCTTTTTTTTTTATGTCTTTATTGATTTCAGAGTGGAAGGGAGAGAGATAGAGAAACATAAAGGAGAAGAGAGATTCATCGATCGGCTGCCTCCTGCACGCCCCACACTGGACACCAAATCCGCCACCCAGGCACGTGTCCCGACCAGGAATCAAACCATGGCCGCCTGGTTCATAGGTCAAGGCACTACCACTGAGCCATGCTGATCGGACTCATTGTTTTATTTTCCTTTCAACAATTGGGAAAGCAGACTCGGACACCTAAAGCAAACAGCCTGAGGCCATTTTGTTCAGAAGTGGCGAGACTGGGATTTGAACCGAGGCCCTCTGAGTCTCTATTATGCTCTAGAGACCCCTCATTATAATGGTCTCTCCCATTTACTGTTGGGGCTTGTTGTTCACCACGTGAACACTGTGCTTTGTCACCCCAGTACTTCCCATGGCATCACAGTGCAATTAAGTTGTGTTACTCCTTCGTTCATCTTACAGACGAGGAAATCAGATACAGAGAGGTTGGGCGACTTGCTCAAGGTGACACAGCTAGGACGAAAGGGGACGGCAGGGTGTGAATCTAAGCAGTTTGCTTCAGGGTCCATTGTGCTGTGCTGTCTCCCGGAGAGGTGGGTACTGAGCTTGCCCCCAAAGAAAGAAAGTGGCACACACAAAAAGTTCCCATTTCACTTGGCAAGTGGGACAGAAAAATGGCCTCAAAAGATGTCCACATTCTCATCCCAAGATATTGTGACTATATTACCTTACATGGCAAAGGAGACTTTACAGATATGATTACGTGAAGGATCTTGAGGTGGAGAGGTTACCCTGAGTTACCTGGAGGGGCCCTGTGTAATCACAAGAACCCTTATATGGGAAAAGGGGGGGCACCGAGGTCAGAGAGGAGAGGTGATGATGAAGTGTGCGGGGGGGGGGGGGGGGGAGGGAAAGAGGGGGAGAGGGAAGAAAGGAGAAGGAGGAAGGGTAGGAGGGAGGGAGGGAGAAGGAGAGAGAAAGAAAGAGAGAGAGGGGGGGGGAGAGGGAGAGAGAGAGAGAGAAAGAGAGAAAGAGAGAGAGAGACCATGTTACGGGCCTTGAAGATGGAGGGAAGTGGCCACAAGCCAAGGAATGCAGGCCACCTACAGAAGCTGACAAAGCACAGGAAATAGATGTTCCCATAGAGCCTCCCGCAGGAATGCAGCCCTGACAGCACCTCGATTTTAAGAATTCTGACTCCAGAACTGCAGACAAAACTCATTATTTGTTGTTTGTCACAGGGGCCGAGGGACACTGACACAGCAGCTTTGCCGAGGAGCCTGCAGTGAGAGGCCTCGG